CACCCACACCCACACCCACACCCACACCCACACCCACACCCACACCCTCTTCTAGATAATGAGCTTTGAAAGAAGTAAGGACAATCCGATAGTTGGGAAAAGACTTGCAAGAGACGTAAGTGAATAGAAATCAACGTTATAGATGAACAATCTTTTCTCATGGAGTTGTACAAACGTACAAAAAAAGAAAAGAAAGAAACGAAGCATTTTTTCCTCTGAGGACACAGACGAGATGTGAGAAAGGTCATGAGAGAAAAAAAAATCTCTAATGGTTGTCTTATGAGAAAGAGGAAGAGAGTCAGTGTTCTTTTTCTTTTTTGCTTTACTCGTTCTGTGCGCGCAATAAAAGAATTTATTCGTCAGGCCATTTCAGTCTGTTTGTAAGGTCATTTTTCCATTTGATCTATAATAGCACTGAGTGAATTATTTAAAAATGTGCCGTTCATATTCAGATAACTTCAAGGTTAAGACTCGAGATAATATTAAAATTTCAATCTCAAACATTCTATTATATTCTTTTTTTAGAAATCTCCATCACCACCACCAGCAGTGCTTGAATATGTTCAAGCACCACAATATGGTATTCAAACACCCTCTTATTCCGTGCAAGGTGCGTTTGCCTATTTAGAGGCGATACCAATCGCCTCACTTTCGTCGTCAGATCGTCAACGAGCGTTGGCTTATGCCAGCAACATAATTGCTGCATTGGGACCTGCTACTGGTCCTCCTCCTGGTGTTGCATCTGGTACTGCAATTGGACCTGCTACTAGTCCTCCTCCTGGTGTTGCATCTGATCCTGCAATTGGACCTGCTACTGATCCTCCTCCTGATGTTGCATCTGGTCAAAAATAGGAAACGAACATCATCCAAACATGAAAAAATGTTTTTTTGTTGTTGTTGATGTTGTTTGTTATTTTTTTAAGAAAGAAAAATAAAATAAAAGAAGAAACAAGAAATGAAAGAAAATGTTTATTAGTATTTAGAGATAAATATCAAATAAGAAAATTCAATAAGCATACCTAAAGGAGAATAACGATATTGATTGGATGAAAATCGACAACATATTTCATTGTGATGAGAATAATTAGGAAAATGTTTCATTTTTATATTGAATATTTATTTAAAAAATTTTATTTATCTTTGTTCGCCCATCGAAAACAAAAAGATAAAATAACAGAACGTTTTATTTGAGGATGAAACGAAATTGTTTTCGATATTTTCAATTGTTTAACTTGAACATGGAATTTATTTCGGTAAAATTCGAATAGATTATTTTGAATGTTTCAACTGAATATTTAAAACGATTCTTCGATAATTTAAAATATTAATTATTAGAAATATAACTTCGATTTAGAATATAAGAATATTTATTTACTAGTCTAATAAATAAGAGAAATATCAATAACAAAATTATATTTACTAAATAAAAAAAAAGAAATAAATATTGATTTTCTTTCATTTTGAATAATTAATTTCTATTTAATATTGCAAAATTCGTTTATTTAAATATTTTTCTTTTCTCAAAATAAATCAAATCACACGTTAAAGATAAATTTATTAAAATTAAATTCGCATCTTACATTGAATATTTGATATTTATTATAAAATTTTATTCGAATTTGATTTTGTTTAAAAAAATAAAAGAAAATTTCGATCGATTTCAAATAATTAATGAAAGATAATTTCTATCGAGAAAATTACATGGAAGAAAAACTTTCAATAATCCTTCTTATTCTGATACAGTTATTATTTAAATCTTTTGTATTTTCGACAATGAATAGGAGAAAACATTAATATTCCATTTTCAATAAACTTGTTTAGATAAAATAAATATTCTTTTCTTTTTTTTTTATCGTATAAAGTCTGAAACTTAATTAGAAAGACTGTTCTGATGAAGTAGTTAAAAAGAAAAAGAAAAACTTAATATAGATTTGAAATTTATATATGAAAATGCACCTGATTATTCTATATGCATAAAATAGGAATAAGAATAGTGTAGATTAATTCTAATTTTCGAATTGAAGTCGAGTGTTTTGTTTTTGCAAGACATATAATTTTAGAACATTGATGTAGTTTAATAATCTCTCGAGTGATAACATTTTCCTATAGTAATAGTTCTTCTAATTAGTCTATGGAACTACTATCCATTTCAAAATAGAAGATGAGTGAAAAATATTGTAATAACTCGACAACGGAAGGAACTAGCGAGAAGCGGTTTTTTGCATTCGAAAGAGAACCCTGGGGGACGTTGCAAACTCACGAAAAAAAAGTTATTTTTTATTTTGCTGGTTTTTCAAAAGGGTTTTCTGAAAACTATAAGGTTTTGAGGGAGATAGAGTGTTGATTTTTCAAGTTTTAAACTTGCAATCGATAGCAGAGACATTTTCCTACATTTCTACACCAGTCTCACATATTTGTGACTTTGCATTAGCAAACCAGAACTCAGACGCCGAAAGCTTCAAAAGTGTCATTTTCAGGAGTTTTCGCGACTTTTCGACCCTTCATCGAAGTCAAAGCGCCAAACAGAGTGCATGTTCAGAATCAGCGAGCAAAACGGCATCGAATGACATGTCTTTCAGCTTCATTTGATTAATATTTTCGTTTCTGTTATTTCATTTCTATTGCTTTTCTTTGACCTTGATTAACCTTTGTATTCTTTGCCATTTTGTCCTTGTTTTTCATGTGCGTATATAAACGTTTATTTTCTCAAAGAATAAATAGAGAGAGAAGAAAACACGTACATCTTTAACTGTGTTCGTCGCTCTTCGTGAGCACGAACCCTAACAATCAATTTGAAAATAATTGTTTAAAAAATTACTTCCATCTTTACTTAAAGATTTTTCAAAAAATTTCATACAAATTCTCAATATTAAATCTTTATCAAGTGAAGAAAATCCAATTAATAATTTAAACCTATTTATTGGAAGCAATGCAATAGGAGTAGGTATAGTTATGGATATCTATCTTCTCTTTATTCTCACCCATCAACACAGTCACACTCAGACTCTACATCTACGCCCTGTATTTATTTATTTTTTTGTTCAACAATGAAATAACGATGTCATGATGTGTTCATTATCATTTTTTTTCTCTTTAATCTTAAGTAGAGCTGTGACAGTTTGCGATCGAGGAATTGAACTAGTATCACTCATCCAGTTCTTTTTTTGACAAATGGAACACGTACTGAATAGAATTTTTACATTATCATTATCAGCACACCGAGTCCATATGACAAGAACTAGTCACCGGATCGAATTCTCAGAAAAGAATCATTTCATAGAACTGTGAGCTGTTACAGGTCTAATCTTAATAAACTAAATAGAATAGATACAGAAGAGCTGATATTTATGTTTACTATCTCTTGTAAATCATTCTTTTTTAATCATTCTTGACATTTTTTT